AGCATTTGCTAATCTGCATTTGCAAATTTCAGCGAATGTGCTCAAAATGAAAAACAAACATATTCAACTCGAATCCCCGGGAGACACTACACTGGATAAATTATTGTTCCATTGTTTCAACACTGTATTTTTATTGGAGAGCAATTCCTAACTACTAGCAGAGTACCAACGGCTTTCCACAACTGCGATGCTCTTCAGATTACAGCCAGAGAATGAAATCAGGGAGCTACCAAAAGCGCGACAATAATTAGTCTCTTATTTAATAGTCTCAGACAAGGCTTTAACTTATCCCATCCACAACTGAGTGCTCTGTTGACACTGAAGAGCTGTTTTTATTCTGCTTCCCATGGTGCACGATCGAGCCAGCCTCCCCAAAGAAGTTTAGTGGAGGATGGCCCTTGTTTAAGCCAGCCTCCAGCTTGTCACCAAACAATAGTTCAGGCCCAGCTGTGGCAGCATTTGGCTCGCACACCGCACGCACTGCCTGAAAAGCTGTTCCCCTCTTCTGAGGTGCAAGCAGAATGCACACCCTGCTCAGATAGCTCGGTCCTTTAACGAAAAAGCACGCCAAGGGCCAGGTTTGGGCATGCTCTCCAACAACTGCTCCAGAAGCAGCTCCCCAGCACTGTGCTGACAGACTGAACACGTCCTTTCCAAGAAAGCCTCTGCTCCAGATGTAGCTCTAAACCCAAAGTCGAAGCAATTCTGTAACTGTTGAGAGGAAAGCAGCTGTATTAGAGGGCTCCAGACCCAAAGAGAAGTCAGAACCCATTCTGGGGGATTTGGCAATTACCAGCCAAACGCTGCTTTGTTTATCATCCTAAAGAGCAAGCAGGGATGCAGGCAATCAGCAGCACAGGAACACCACGCTGCAGAGAAGAGCTGCACTACCAAGATGCCTCACAGAAGCACCAACCACTGTACTCACTGGTAGGCAATGGGCCAAATAATGGCAGAAAACAACCTGAGCTACGCTGAGAGCAGCCCCAGTTTTTTGACGTGTTCACAGAGATTACCTGCTTTTAGCCTGAGTTCCACCCAAGCTGGTAAAATGTTGATCTGCTGCTACACCTGTGGCTGGGGAGCTTATGAGGGTTCAGCTCCTGCCCCATTTTGACGTGTCTTGATAAATGCAAAGTGCTGCTGCTCCCACACGCTACCACCCACCCAGCCCAGACCTGCAGCGTCAGGGGGCAGAAGCTGAGGCATCGCGGTTGCCAAACAGACACTGACTGTGACAATGCATTGCATCAGCGCTTGTTCTGAACCCCAGCCAGCCGAAGGGGAGCTCTGGCACTTGGGGTTCAGAAGCCCAGGTGCAGCCGCCCCAGCAGGGAGGCAGGAGAGCTGCTGGTACTGCAGAACCCGCGAGCTGTGCAGGAGTACAACCACCAACAGTCCTCTTCGTGGGTTATCAACACAACTGGCAGCTCAGCTCAGCTGATAGAGCCGTTATTGCTGGTCATAACACCAGACACTGAAAGCACGCCAGCCAGTTTTCAGATCCCAAGCTGGCTCCGCAGCAATTACTAAAAAAAATAAGTATGCACCATCAAGGGAGTCACTGAAGGATAAATATGGATTCCCACAATGACAGTTAAATAGAAACACTTCTGACTGCATTTGAGGTAAGACATAAAACTGCTAAAGTCAAGAATTAATTTTCAATTGCAAACAGGATTATAGAATTTTTAAAATCTCAGAGGAATTCAAAAGTCAAAGGTATTGTAGATCATCCTGCCTTTCTCTCTCCCTCACTTCAGACCACAATCATGGTTCTGATGTGGAAATTTCCTTATAAAGGCAACAGATTTTTATTTTTTTTTTGGTAGCTCTGCCATCATATTAGTATAGCGAACCTACGTACATTACTTAAATCTTGTACCTTGCCCTTCTGAAATAAGGGGAAAACGGGAACTTAAAACATGAAGAACCCTGCTTCTTAGAAGAGCAAATGCAAAATGACATTTGCAAATAATCATCTACCAGGAACGCTATATTCTCTGGAAAATGCTTGTTTTAATGCATGGCTGTGAATGAGACAAAAAGCTAAGCGTTTTCTTCCTGGAAACATAGTTTTTTCTTTTCTTTTTTTTTTTTTTTTTAAAGTAATCTTGCATGGATATCATACTATTTTGAAGACAGATTCACATTTACCATCCTCCAATGTTGTTGACCTTTACTTCGATTAGCAAAACGTTAAACCTCATTTATTAATAACATGCATGGAGAATGCTTCGTTACCATATACACATATATGAATTCTGCTCCAAGATATACACATGAACAGAATTGACACTAAGGACTTGTAAACCCCAGTACCAACCAAGCTATATGCACAATGTTGTGCCAATAGCAAGGACTGAAAATACTGAACATTCGTTCAGAGATTCTGAACAATATTTTGTCATTACGTGTCATCAGAGCTTCAAAAACCCTGCAGTCAGTATCTATGCAGCTTGCTCAAGCTAAAATCACATCATAGTGACCTTACCACTTCACATTTTGATTTTTCATTCTTCCTTAGGAAGCTCCTAAGAAGCCTGACCAGCCACGCACAGGTTTGTACCAGAAAACATGCTTTGGAAGTGCAATACGGGGTAGAAAGCACAACTGCTTTGCAGTTACTGTGCCATAGCTCTAGCTTCAGTATGGCCACACTGCATGGCCTGGGAGAATCCCTGACCTTGGCCTGTTAAACAGAATCACACCTTTCATACCAACTTTACAAGCGTGTGAAGAAGTTTGGTCAGTCACATTTATAAAGTGACCTGAAAACCTCAGAAGAAGGGGACTGGGTACTTGTGCTGCTCCCTCACTCCTTTGCAACTCCCTGTGAAGTGACTGACTAGATTTAGACTGACCCACAGATCTCTAAAACCCTGTATCTATACCAATACATCTACACACATATCACTTGTTTTCTAACTCTAAATTTAAGAATTTCATTATTAAGTCTGAAGCATGTAGGTTCTGAGCCCGAGGTTTGCAGAGCACGTTTAGAGCAGCACCTGAAATACTCGATGACAACGTGAAAGGAGCTGGATGGCTACATGGTTCTGGCATCTCATCCCTGCCTTTGGTGACCTCACCAGCTCATTACACAGGAAAGTTACAGAGAGCTTAGTGCCACTCAGATGGTGGGAACCGGGAAAAAAACAACTAAAACATTTTGACGGGTACCTTCACATATAGCATGCACTATGAAATGAGCCGTGGTGTCCTGAAGTTTGGTCTCCTATGGCAAAACTGCTCAGTGAATACATACTTGGTTCAGAAACAAGTCCTCAAATGTATTTAGGAATGCTTTGAATACTTAAAAACCCAACAGCTAAGATAGCACTGGAAACCTGCAGACCTGATGTACTTTCAAACAGTAAATCCTTTTTGAAGTCATCACTGGTATCTTCTACTTTCCTCTTCACAGCTCATTACAGCTCAGGCCAGCTTCACACATTTGCATGCTCATCTAATTATATTTGTTAGAGCATGGATGTTTGTAACCCAGTGTAGTACAAGCTGTAGTGTTGATATAGTAACAGCAGTGCAAACATGCCCTACTTCTGTACGACATAGGGCTGGCCTACACGGTAATGTGATTGTATAATAATCTGCAGCATTCAGGTATACTATTAACTCCATGCTAATTACTGCATGTTCAGATGAGGTGAGTGAGGTAGCTTACTCTTATGCAAAACAATAAACCACTTCACACAGATGCACTTACGTTGCTTGCTAAGGCTATGTCTAGAGGCCTGAGCAATGAGACAAATGAAACACGCTTGGGATACAGCTGGGCACCAAGGGCAGCCTGGCCATAAGCAGGGGGCTTCAGAGCAAGTGGCTGGTGGAGGTAAAAAGCCCACTGAGGATCCTCCTGCACGCTCCCAGAATTGCTGAATTTGAGTCTAAGTGTAGCCTGAGTGCATGAGGAGCAGGGTGAACACCAAAGGTGCTCGGCAGTGGCTCCTCCATGTGGGTAAGCATTGCTTCACTCACATGGATGGGAAATATCAGCACATTCGTATCAACTTAATTATCGGCACAGTTAGAAGTTGCAAAACTTGTGTTTAGACAAGGCTTTAAAACTTTTTCCTTACTGTTTGGAAAGTTGGTTTTACTGTTCCTCTACCGTATTTTCAATGGTTTCATATGTCATTCCTTGTTGAAGCCCAGGACTCTGTATGGTCTAGTGGAAGGGAATGGGTCTTATTACTCTGAATTTTACTTTAGTTTAAAATGGCCACTGTAAAGATAAATTGCCTTAAAAAAAAAAAAAAAAAAAAGACCTCCAAATCATTAGAAATACTTCCTAACCTTGCCATAAAGATTTCTTTTACCACTGTGACCTTAATGAGAATGTTTCCCTTAAGAATTGTGGAGAGTTTTATGAGAAAGTAACAACAAAACAGTGAGAAACCTTAGCAACATTGAAAAAAATCAATAAGAGAAAAAAAATAAAATCATCTCTCAGGAAAAAGGCCAATACCAACTTTTAAGATGACCAAACTCTAATATCCTCTCATTTGTAAGTTTAATTTGTTTTCTGTACTATTTTTATCTCACTGAACTGTTATTATGTGAAGCACAGAAAAAAACATCTTTTACTTAGGAGAATTCTTGACCAGCTTTCTCCTAAATATGATATTCTTGGGAAAACAGGATATCACTTAATAGATGGAAAGAACAGTCCACAGCCACAATACACAAAATCTGATCTACAGCTCCAGCTAATCCACTGCTTGGCATATACCTAGTTTTCTGCATGTGTGACGTGTTCCCTAAAAGCCACCGATTCCCATCAAACACCTCAACAGGCCCAGGAGTGGAGCATCAGTCTGAGCACCCTGCCAAAGCTATGCCCAGCGTACCACAATATAACCTCAGCCCACCTCCAAAGCCACCACAGGTGAATTGAGCATCCCAAGGATTAGCAATAACCCCAATGATGGTGAGAAGCAGTTGCGGCCGTATAAAGAACATTTTGGAGAAAATCTGACCTTGCCGATATCCACAGATCTCCAGTGCTCTGTTCCAGCAGGAGTTGTCCCAGCCCATGGAGACAGCCTTCCAACTGCAACGCCAGCCTTGCCTGCCTCTCCACTGCTAAGAAGATGGCCACAGACCCTGTGAGAGGAAGAAAAAAACCCTCTGTCTTGGTACATTTTTCTACTGCACCTTCATGGTTTGCACATCCATATTTCACCTTTTATTATTATAAAATAATTAGTCTGAATCATCAGCAAAAATCTCAGCATTATAAATAAAATTTTGTAAAATTTCCTATTTAGTGGAAAAGCATTTTTATTCTCAAAAATCAAATTCTCCAGTACAAAAATGTCAAGCCTTCAGTCGACTGACAGTTCCGAGGAGGAAAAGGGAAAGACATCTACAGACCTTTCACTAGTTAGCTCCTTGATTTATTACACAATTGCAGTATTTTGAAAGCCATTCTGAAAAAAAAAAAAGCCTCATTCAGTTACATGTTTTGAAATTTGATGACCGAGCAGCTATATAGCATTTCTTTTTTAAAAAAGCCAATGACATTTCTGTCTTGAGAAGCAACTCCGCTTATATATACGTTTTAAAGAACAAGTTGTTCTTGAAGCAGCAGGGAAGTAAAGCTGTCCAAACAACAGAAGAAACATCAACAACTCTGGAGACTGAAAGTCCCCCACTTAGATTTTATTCTGAGCCTTGATTCACAGCACTACCTTCCAAGGGATGGAAAGAAACCTTCTCTATAGCCACGAGCTTCCTGCAGAGGAATCCAAAGAATCACACACCGCAGTGATTCTTCCAATGACCACCATCGTGTCTACATCACAGATATGATATGGCATTAAACAGTGATCTCTTCCAAGCTGAGCTGCGTTAGTGAAAGAAAGCAATCCTACAATGAAGCCCAAACTTTATCAGACCTTAAACATGTCCAAGAAATCTCAGCAAGAACAGAACTTTGACTGCTTTACTGTTTTCTAAGACTGCCATGTCAGGTCCAATACCATATATTTTTTAATATATATATTGGTAATGGAAACCAAAGAACTGAATAAACCAAAAATCTTTCTGAACAGTCCTTTCAGGATACATACGAATAGTCAGATGTACACTACTTCTCAGGTCTTTGAAGAAAAGTACTCCATGTGCAGAAAGGTACTTCTGGAAGTTCAATGCAACGACCAATATTTATTCAGAGATCCTAAACTACAGAACTAGAATCCAGAACTATATAAAGAGAACATTTCACCAACTGCTGAAGTCAGGTATCTCAGGCATGGAAGACAGCAACCATTCAATATGACACCACAATGCCACGTACAAGTTGAGGATACGTGAAAACCAAACAGGAAAAAAGTGAAACAGCTCTAACTTAAACTAATTGCTCCAGGTCTGGCCAATGGCACTGAACTTGTACTCCTGCTGCTGCTGGACGTACCTACGTGTCTGTAACATAACAGCCACAGCCTCGACGTTACGCCTCATTGAGAGTTATCATCTTCCCCATCCAGTGTCCCTCCCCATCCTCATCACTAGCTATTACATTGATTCAGAAAATGACTCCAAAGGAAAAACTACCACTCGCTAATTACTATGGAGTGGAGTTCATTCAGCACTTCAAGTTTCCTTGGAGGCTTCTTACCCAAACATTAACCCTCAACCAAACCAACCTCAGCTGTTTCAACATTCTTTTTTTTTTTTTTTTTTTAAAGCGTGTATATAAAAGAAAAGCCAGGCCAGTTGCAGTCAGACTTCTTGGCAATTTAACATTTTTAACCAAAGTAATTTATAAATTATGCAAGTGGAATATTTATTTATGTGAAGAATTTTGTGGGTTTTTTTGAAAGGTGGGGTTGGAACTGCTTTTATTTGGTAAGTGACTGAGAAATCTCTGAATGTTGTCTTGTATAAACTTCACAGCAGCAGTGACATTACAGAACAATTTTGCTTTTGTTGAGGGAGTATGTACATTTTAATTAGATATTTTAATTACTACCCGGTTGCTTATATATAGCTATGTGAACTGAAAATGGTTTGGGCTTTACTTTTTGATCTGTCCTAATATAAAAGGCGGTGTAATTTAAGCACAACAAAACTGGAGTGTTCTTCTCTCCGCAGCACGAGGGGAAAGACACGCAGCAGGAGCTGAACGAGGACTTGAAAGGAGCCGTGCTGGCCGCCTATCAGGGTCCCCCCATTTGCACACCAAAGGTAGGAGACATCTGGGGCAGAGCCCGTGCAGTGCCTTCTCGCCGGCCTCGGCAGCGCCTGCGCCGGGGGAATTCTGCCCCAGCAGAAACGGGGCTTCCAGCCCTTTCATGCTGCTCCAGCCTGTTTACCTACCATGGAGGGGTCAGAGCACAGGAAGAAATCTTAACCCGACGTTTGAGGCGGAGAGCATTGCGAAGCCAAGGACCTGGCCACATGTGGGATTCGCTCATCAGCACGGCTCCTGCAGCCAGCGCTAATGCAAGCCCCAAAAGTAGGGCAAAAAACCTCAGCTGAGCTGCTCCTGCTTGCATCCTACCTGGAGACTGAAGTCGTGGTGAAGAAGTGCTCCAAGATGTTGTAATATGCAACACAGAAACGCTAGGTATTTTTTGGGGGGTTATATTTAGAAAGTTACTGAATGGCAAGATGTTATACGCCTGCCGTGCACGTTACGTTTTCCACACAGGCATAAATAACGCAGTCAGATAAGCACGGTCACTCGTGAACCTACACACAGTCACCACGTTACTCTTCACTTGTCTGGATATTTTGGGGGAGGCATCCCCCGCCCAGCTGAGCGCCGAGCTGTCCCGCAGCGGGGCTGTGCTTGGCCACCCTCCAGCTCTGGACACACCAGAGAGCAGAGGCAAGTCGACGGAGGAGGAGAACACAAAGATGAGGGTAGTGAGAGGAAGGAAACTATCAGATGTCACAGTCCCAACAAGCCCTTGCTTTCGGTAGGATCAGCTAGAGGGTTCGTAATACTCTTCTAACACCATGCCTAACACATGATAGTAGCAAGGCTGCTACAACCCAGCAAAGGTAGTAAAAGAAGGGCTACAGAATAGACCCCTCGCAAGCACAACAAGGTATAATTCACTCTAAAGCTCAGAGCAGGTACTGAACAGCACTTCTGTAAACTGCTGCTTTGCATAGACCAAAAGCATGAATTGTGCCCAGATATGTAAGACTTAGGGGGGAAAAGAACTATTTTAAACCACACCATATTAACAGGAGATCTGGCCAAGTACTACAGCATTTGAATTTCTTTTAAAAAAGCGAATCTTTTGATAAAATGTATCTGCTGTAAAACCAGTTTTAAAAATTCCCAGTACATTTTTTAATGGAATCCCATGTTAGGTGTATCAGGTAACGTGCCTCACTGAAACAAAGCGTTTCTGTTTTCCAGCCAACTAATAATCAGGTTGCATGTGGTGGCCCTTAATGGAAAGAACAATTGCTATTAAAGGAACATAGCAATTAAATTGCTGGGGCTATATTGCCACATCCTCCAACTTAGCTTTAGGAGTGGGCTTTTTATGATGCAACCTCCACCAAGATTTCTTCACAGAGATTCTCTTGCAATGTGTCAAAGGCAAAGGTTTGCTCTCCACCTCTGTTCAGAAGCTGCTCGTAAACCCAGGGAAACTTTCAGGCTGCAGGAGGCCAAAGCTCTCCATGCAGAGGCCCGATTGCCACCACCAGCCAGTTATCCTTGCCATGATCGTCGCTGCCTTCACTCACTGAGATATAAGGTCCCTACAAAAATTAACGTGATTTGTAGTGCCACCTCTCTACTGGAGAAATTTCCAGGAAATTAGGAAGGGGTGTGTTATTCACATTGCAGCTCTGAGCTATACTTACAAATACATTAGAGGCTCCTGCAGCCAGTAATCTGGTGGAATCGCAGCTGAAGAACTCCAGCTGTGGTCCTGAAGGCAGGCGTTGAGATCTTGTAGTTGATGCCCAGATCTCAGAAGCATGATCTGGCCCTGGACATGATAGGCTTCCCGTACAGAGCAGCGTTACCATAATCCCTCTCTTGTCATGAAGTATTCAATTTTCTTTTTCATTCTTAGAAAATAAAATGCTAAATTACCCAGTTTAGTAGGTCAATGTCAAAACTTACGATGAAAAAGGATCTTCCTAAGAGAGTTTCTTAAAACCTGTATAATCAGGTTGGTAATGCTGCCCACAGGGAAAACCCATTAGCAGAAATCTCCAGCACATTTCAGAAAGCTGAACCTAAGTGGATTGTGGGTGTGCCTACCCATTTGTTAAACTGCGAGCAGTCCACCTCATCCAGAAGCGTTGCTACATCGCAGTGTGATGGTTTCCCCCGCGTGCTCCTGCTCTTGGGGCAGGGACGGGCTCACGCAGCCACTGGGCAGACTTCGCGGTGACGACGAAGCAGCCGACACCTTCCTCGCACAACTGGAAGAAATTCTGCAGCCGGTCTAAAGGGTTAAGCTCTACCTCTGAACTTCAATACTCTGCAATTCTATGCACTCTCTTTTTAGAGTACTCTTCCTTCCTTCCTACCCGCTAACACAATAGGGAAAGCTTTGTTATCATTAATCATCTTCGGAGCCCTGGGGACTCGGAGCATGGACGCTGCCGCAGCCTCACCAAGCAAACCCACGCAGACACGCACCGAAGTTTCTGACAGAGTTCACTCCTGCAGATTTTCATTAGTGACCGGATTTACGAGCTGGGGACGTGGTTAATGGTTCATCTAAAAACTCAGAGGAACTCTATCTTTAATAATTATCACCAGAATCAATATTTTCAATTAAAGGATTTGAGACTTTTTCTACCCCCATGCCATGAAGGTCCGTAATCTGCATGGGGGGAAAAAATGGATTTTTTAGGCTAAAATCAAATAATCTCTGGCAGTGCACAGAAGCACCATATTAGGAAGGGTGAGATGAGCAAGCTGAACAAAGATGGAAAAGCATCCAAAGTGGTACATTTTTGAGAGAGAATGATTGTGCCCTAACAGAGAACTATTTAGGCAAACTAAACACTAAGCAGCAGGTACTGCAGGAGTTTAGCAACAGTTGTTTGACTAAGTCACCTTGCCAGCCTCCTAACAAATGGCCCCCCAAAAGCAGCCTGTCTTGTAATTTCTGGAGACTTAGAAGGAAAAGGATATCCTGTAGAAATTATAGAAAAGCAACAGGGCTGAGAAAACATTTGTAAATAAGTCATCAACATTCCAGTTACATCTCTGACTCCTTGATCTAAATGTCTTGGGTTTTTTCCATGCATTCTGATACATACAACTCATTTAAAAATATATACTCAGTACAGAAAAACAAAGACAACAAAACAATCCTGGTTTCTCAAACAGGATTTTTATCTGCAGGTGCAAATTCTGCACCTATTAATAACTGTTTCCTCAATTTAATGCCTGTTCTTCATAAAAAATACAGCACTAACGTTAATTTATCCAATTGCCTATCTGAAGCTGCAAGATGAGAGGTTGAGTTGTAGAGAAACCAGCTTTAAAAACTCTTCAGACATCTACAAATTCCCCAAAACAATCCAGTAACATAATTCTGTAACTAAAAATAAATCAACAGCTTCTGATTGAGGGTCCTGTCTCAGCATCCCCAGTGCCATACACATCACACACTGGTTCTGTGTCTGAAGCTATGTGAACACCAAAGAGTTGTGCAAGTGCACGACAAGTTAAATGTCCCCACTGATCTGCAAAATGTTTATTTTTAGGTGTAATTGTAGTAACTACACATGCAGTTTAGGTCCATAGCATTGATTTTACGTGCCTACCCCCATGCTACTACAATATTGATAATTTGAATCCAATTTATTCTCCTTGTTTATACAGCTAACAAGATGTGTGTGTACACAGCGTGCTGTGAGCTAAGACCACATCTTGTTCCAAAGGAATTGCAGTCTAAAAAAAGCTGAGCACTGGAGAGCAAGCTGGTCCTCACTGAGAAACAGACAGGAGGAAAAACTAAGACAAGAGATGACAGGAACAGTGAGGCAGAGGGACTGGGCAGTGTGCAATGGAGGTAACTGGGCTCACACCATGAGAGTGTTCATGGCATAGGTGAAGACCTGGGACTTAGACACCTCTGGAGGTAAATGGAAATGCCCTGCAAAGCAGTGCCTCAAACCCAGGGACCGTGGGCACTTTTCCCATCAGGTTTACATTTATAAGAAGGGATTTTCAGTGTTTTCATACTTTAAGAAGGGCAACACAAAGATAAATAGAGTAAGGAGGAAGAGGTGGCGACCAAATAGCGACAGTAGTGGCCAAAACCATGGACATATCTAGGAAAGATGGGATCTGGCAGACTTGGGTAAGAGACCCAAATAGGATGCAGATGGAAACACTAAATAAGTAACCAGTTACCTCCCTTCTACCCCAGGCAATGTCTGCTGCCTCACCTTGAGGGTGCCCACCGAGGGAAAGGGGTTGTGGGGCCACACCAGCAGCTGTGTCCGTCGGAGGTCTGGCCATCTCCAACCCATCTCCAGCCCATGCACTGGAGGCAGGTGGTCTCATCAAGCACAGCACCCTCACCTGGGCACGGGGTATCTGCCTGTCCCCACCTGTGAGGACTGTTCTCCCAGGTGCTTTATCCCATCATTTCAGACTTCTTTTTTCCCTCATTTTGATCAATATTCACCACAGCACATTATCCCTTCCTTTAAATTGCTGTTGCTTTCTTTAAGAGCATAAGCTTTACACTAACCGTATTTTAATTGCTGTTTACACATCCCTCAAGCGTGCATAATCATGAATTGTTCAACAAAGGCCAGGACATTTTATAAATAAAATCTCACTTGCTATTGAGAATGACAATACTAGCTGGCAGCATCTGGATGCATTTTCAAAGTGAAGATTTTACTTTTACAAGACAAGACTGAAACCACAGATAGAATAAGCTGGTGTGAAACCTGCAGAAAGCTTTTTTTCCCCTCCTGTTCATCGAATAGCAGCGTAAGTCGGCGAGTGGGAGGAAAGTTAAAGCTTACACACAGCCCAGCATGCCAGCCCGTGCCCTACTGAGATGCTTGACTGTCTACCGCTTCTGAGCAGCTGGAAAAACGTCAAACTGTCATCACTGATTAAAATGGGATTTTATAGAAAGCATCACACGTGTTGTCAGAATTCTAGACTTCCTTCCACACAATGGAAGCACAATTTTGCCTTGCTCTTCCTCTTGCCGCCATGGGATTTACCATTAACACCCCCAAGAGAACAAGCGAGAAATGCCGCCTCGCCCATACGCGCCCTGAGGTGGCACACCTCGTGGGACCCACATGCCCCTTTCCCATGTGCGTGAACCCCAAAACACCTCCACACTGAGCACACCTGCATAGCTGGGTTCTCCACTGACATTTCAGCTGGGAGGCCACAGAGATAATGAGCTGGTCTTGGAAAGAATAGGGTGAGTACTAAGGGGGCCACTTAAATGCCCTCAGGCAGGGCTGGGGTTGGCCTGAGGGTGGGACAAGATGGAGGCAGAGAA